TAATTACTTTCTATAGCTCGGAAATGGAGTGGGCCTGGCTATGTGCCCCAGCTGAACATAGCTTAGGATGAATTCTTCGTGGGGCATTTCTATTCGAGAGAGCTGCCATCATGTCTTGTGCTGAACAAAGACGTGATTACAACTGTTTTGAATTGCAACATCACCCCCCTCCCCTCAGACTTCGATCGTAGTACGCAGGTATGCCCTTCCCATTTCTGGGACATGGTGTATACTCCTCCGTAGAGGTAAGGGAAGGCTCACTTTGTGCCAAAAGAACTCCTGGTAAAGAACGGGACGGCTCATTACACTCTCTACCACTGCGATACACACATCCTCAACTGCTGCAGGTAGAATTAGCCATCGACAAGAAGCTAAGCTGAGCGGCTGCGCCAATCGTCCTAAAAACCGCTTTCAAGGTCTAACAAGCCCAGTAAATTGACTATAGAATTCCGCGCCAAGGACGCAATAACGCTTCTGACTCATTGTTGCTTCAGCTGGTAATTCATTGAAAGCTTGACGCTTAAAAAGTCCTGTAATTATCTCCTGAACTTGCTTGATGTAACAAAGAAAAGGGAAGAAATAATGGTGTGAATAATGTGTCAATATTAGTATTGAAAGACCCCTCGGATTGAGGGGCCTCATAGCCTTTCTGGAGATGGCAGGCGGTGTGGACGTGGAAGTCATCACAAATAATGGAAGAAGTAAGGCCAAGTTTTAGATACAGTAACGGGAGAGGTATCAGAGAGATGGGCAAATCAGTGAGGTGCGAGTGAACGTAGGTGAGTCACTAACACAACACAAGGCATGCAAAGCTCTGCTATTCGAGGGAAAAACTCTTCGATTCATAAGCCTGACCCGCTGAAACTCACTTCATTACAATATGTGAGAACCAGCAAATAAATAATGGCAGTCAAAGAACGAACTCACCCTTTTCACACGTAGTACTCCCACATAGGAATCACTCGAGTCGCGATCGGTCGTCATGTAGAAGTATTTCGAGTCATCGGCCAATGTGTAGGTGAAGAGGTTGTCACTGAAGGTTGAAAATTCACTTCAGTACTGATTAGTTTAGAAAAACTTCTTCTTTTCATTGTGATCGTTTGCATGCATTTTCCAGTGCTATGGATATTTTTAGACCCCCGTGTCATATGCATAGGTGAGGATGACTCATTTCAGCGAATTCAAAAGCCAACAAGAACTGAGTCAGACCGAGGGCTCAAAGTTTAGGGGTCTGCTATTCTTGGCTGCACACATACCTCCTTCGCCAACAGGTTTCATCGTTTTAACAAATCCTAGCATCTGGGTGCAGTTTGCCTGGGTAGGTTATATACTGCTACCCCTCGCAGTTAACAGGGTCAGTACAAAGTGCTGTCCAAGAAGGATGATGCAACCGAATGGATATATGAACCCTATGCATTGGGCCTTGATTATTTCATTGGTGCCCTCGAATATGGCGATTTTTCATGTGCAGAAAAAAACAAAATTCAAAGAAACACAAACTTTTGTCCCATTTCCAGCCTACGATGGATCACAACATCACTGTTAATATCTTTTGTTGCGCTTGCCCAGTAATAAATGACCCCCCTCTCTATCCAGCGAACAGGTACGACCCGCGTCGGATCCCTAGTGAAGAGGTACACTGTAAAGAAACATTCCGCGATAGCGCATAGGTGAAGAAATGGGCTGAGGCCTACAACTATTACGACTTCTTCTCTGATGCCCCCTTATTCGGATACAGTAAAGAGGGGGGGGGGAGGAAGAGCCGAGGTCAATAAGAAAAGTCCAATGGTCTTGCGCCTCTGACAAATAGTCACTGATTATTTTGGAACATGTCTTTAAATCCTCGTCCAACATAGCTCCTGAAGATTCATCAGCTCCAGTTAACCTCACCTTTGCCTAAAATTCAACGGCTAACTGGACACCCTTTAAGTTCCAGGTATCTTTTTCTATGATAGAGAATCTGCAAGACTTGTACTTGAGAGACTTGTGAAATACCACTTGTAGTTGCAGATGTTATTATAGTTCCCAGTTCAAGTACCTCATTTTCTGAAGTATAAGAGACACCCATCTAAAGAGAGCACCTTCGTTTCCGACTCGGGCTCTGCGAGATGTGCCTTATACCTCAGAAAATGTGGTAAATTGTATTTTTTGTCGCTCCAAGGTGCTGCATACGACCAGTTATTGATTAATGATGAATTTTCCCTATTATAATTATAATTCACTCACATGGCCTCATCGTCTGGATCCGTAGCGGAAACACTTATCACCGCCGAACCGACTGGTGCCGTCTCCATAACTCTCGCGTCGTACTGCGGTCGTTCAAACATAGGAGCATTGTCATTTTTGTCCAATACCTTTATTGTAACATTCGCGGCACCTATAAGAAGCCAATAATCGGACATCGCGAAGAAAAAAAACGCCTCTTCGCTTGAGGGGTCATTTTGATTTTTGTCGTTTCTTTTATTGCTTCATTTTAAGCGACATGCCCGACTTCGGTCAGACCTGTAAACTCTGCGCCAACCGCGGAATTGTTCGACTGAGCCCCTCCTGAATCACAGGAATTTACAGAGTTCTCACAGGGTGCTTGTTCAAGCTGAGTGAAATTTGGTGCCCCCACTAAGCCGATCTGCGCCAAAATTTACTCTATCCAGATAATAAATGAATAGATAGTGGCAAATGTCCAATAATCTTTGACGAGTCCCTCGACTGAATCTTATAGATGTACAATCCAGCATTTAACGCGAACTCCCTAGGTGTAAGACATGGCAAGGAAGACGTGAAATTTCACCTTCTCTGGGCGGTGTACCATGGTCGGTTGCACGAACTTCGATGACGAACTCACGTTCTGATGGCAGTTCACGATCCAGAGCCCGCTAAACGAAAAAATTAGAAGATAGTGGAAGTAGGCCCAGACCGTAACATCGCTTCCTGCCCCCCCCCCCCCCCCCCCCCCTTCAGGACTGCATTACAGACACGTACCATGGCGAAAATCTTTCCGGAGTTGGGATCGATCCGAAACACTGGTAAACCGTCGATCTCCTTATTCAACACGATACTGTACGCGAGACGGGCATTGTCAGTGGTTGGATCATCGTAATCAGTTGCTCGTACGTCCATGAAGTACACACCATCAGGAGCTGAAATAGTCTGATAACACTTCCATTTTGCAACTTCACAGCTACTTTACCATTACCATATCGAAATTTTTGAATAGAGACCCTAGCAGTTGGATTCAGCCAAAATTGGAAATTATTTTCAGGTGGCTAGCTCAATATACGAGGGTAACAGCTGAACGGTGCCCGATAGAGCCATAAGAGTACTAATATCGAGCGCTGACAACTTGTAGACAAGACATACTCGACCTCCGAGGACAGGTACTTGCCATCAGGGCACAGCATCATTGTGTGGAACACAATGGAGGGATATAAACCATTTCGCTGCGAGAGGGGGTTCTACTCTACCGTCTGGGAAAGGGGAGGTTGTTTTTAGCTCATATTCGGGGAAGGGCGGGGGTCGTCATGATGTCCTTTGAGAGAAATTTGCCGCGCTGCTGTGGGAAAAAATTCTTTCCGCTTATTGACTTTCCGCGTTTTTCCCGTTTCACTGGTTCTATATCCGCTCCCTCAGCCAGAGCACATCGTTGGTGCGAGTTGTGTTACCAGGGAGAGGGGGTTTACTATTTAGTTTGCGGAGAGGGCGGGTGCGTTTCGGGCGAGAAAAATTTTATTTAGATGCGTTTGCATTTATTCTCATTTTTCACGGATTGTTAGTGGGGTCGTATTTTGCTCGTTGCTGGGAGGGAGTGGGGGAATCGTACTGATACCACCATTTCACGCATAACGATGCTGTACCCTGCTTGCCATGAGCTGAGCGAATGGTCAACTCTGCAGCTCCATCAGCGCGCCACGTTTGCTGCTTAAAAGTACACGGGAACGAGGCTGGAGCGTGACAACACCCAGGTGCTGTCTTCCAGAAGCGTCCGCCCTCAAGGTAGAGTACCTGCGTTTACCAAGGTCTCGAAGCAAAATACGCCCTCAGGTAGAGAAGAACCAGAAGTGAGAGAGCGCAGACAAGTAGCGCGTCTGGTTACAATAAGGCGTGTGTCTAGTAGAGCGGCGCGCAAGCGGAGTATGGAGACGGTACGCGGGTATCACTACCCTCCAGCCCCGTTCCCGTGCACTTTGACGAGGGAAAATAGCACGCTTCTGCAGCTGCGGGCCCATTCTCTGCACACCTAACGACGACCAGGGTCCTCAATCCCTCCCTCCCACAGCGACGACCAGGGTCCACGGAGGTGAGTGTACAGTTCCCCCTTCAAATAGATTAATAGAAAACTTACACTGAGGATGGCGATTTTCCTCCACGTAACCATACAGATCGTCAGCAAAGATTGGAGCATTGTCGTTGATGTCTTTCAAGTTAACCTGAATAAAACGTTATTCAACGCAAGGAAAACTCGTCAAACAAATGCACAAGAGCTATTGGTAGAAAACACAGTGGCGCAGAGGGGAGGGGGAAGGGGGGAGGAGGTAATTTCTTGCCAGCTGACAGCGCCGGATTATAATAGTATCAACTACGGGTGGTGCTCCAAAGCTTAGGTTGCCTCCAGAGGTTCAGCGTTTTTGGTTTGCATTTCTCTATACTGCAGTACATTGTAAGTGTAGGAATTGTCCACGACTATACCAAATATTTCACATTTTCAAATAATTCCTAATAATTCTCAATTCAACTTTTCTCATCCAACTTCTTCCGAATACAGCTCCAGTGTTACGAAAGAAACGGTGGAAGCGGTTCAACGATAAATATCGCCGCTGATACAAACCCTTGAGGAAATGGAACGGACAACCCCCCACCCCCTCATAGGTCTCTCATGTTGGAACTTTCAACCAGATTGTTAACTGGAGAACAGCTTCACTAATTGAAGCGGTATTGTAAGTTCTAGT